CTTTTTATTACTTTTCAGCAGTATATTTTAACTTTCCTTATATTTCAAAGTATTACATTAAATATTCATACGGAAAATTATGATTTATTTTGAAATATATTCAGTAATTTTTTAAAAACATTTATTTTACTTTTCATTGATTTCATAGAACTTTCAGCAAAATATTTCCATCAGGGTATCCATTAAGGCCGAATTCCCACTAAGCGCGTCACGCGTCGCGTTATCCGTCGCGTCACGAATTAACCAATCAAAACATCCCATTTTATCGCATCATGTGCCGCGCGACTCCTTGCGCGACGCATCGGTTCAGTTGCTTGACATTCTAGAGACAAAAGATTCTTCCTTTGTACGAGATCTCAGATCGCGCGCATTCGTTATGAGACAGGTCACAGAAAATGTAACAATATTCGTAAGTTCCAAATTATTATTTAATATTATTATAAAATAATTATTGGCTTAGTTTACATCGATTGTTTAGTACGCGTACCAAGTACTAAATCTGCTTCTCCGATAGATATAAATCGTTTGGTGTAAAATCTATATGAATCAAAAAAGCAGATTTAGTACTTGATACGCATACTAAACAATCGGTGTAAACTAAGCCATTATTCTCTACTATTATTTTTTGTCTCCTTACGGCGACACGTTCAGTGTGAATAAAGGTGCAATTTCATGTAGCGTCAAAACGCTAGCGGCTCTTCTTACTCTGGCGCTTTTGGTCGATGCGTCGTTTTGCCGCTTGAAGTTCGGAAAGGCCCAACTCGAGCGAAAAATAGACGTGTTTGAATTGGTTTGAATGTTGTATCAGTTGTATCAACAAAAAATGAGTTTCAACGACAACGACAGTGAACATTGGAACACATACTTGAATTGTTACATGTTTTCCATCGATAGCACCAATGCAGTGAATGAAATTGGACAATTCTTCAAAATCATTTGCAATTTCGAGCCAGTTTCCTTCCGACAATACTGATGATAAAACCAAAAGACACAAATTGCTCCAAATTGCTTCGCATGTCTCTCGAATAATATTACAAACTGTTGTTACCCCAACTAGATACTGGTATGACATTGACGTCATTGAATCGCCAGAAGCAAGATACCTAGAACATTGCAAAGATACAAAGATATATAATATTTAAACAATATCAAAGCAGTGAACAAGTTTCTTGTATAAAATTTGCAGTAATTTTAACATTTACAAACCTTAATGTTATTATCAAACGTTCTTTCGGTTGTATGGGCTCTCGAATAACATTTTCTTTTATCAATAGCGGTCCAACAATAGATAACAATTCCTCAAATTGTGTTGCGGACATTCGGAAATAATTGTGGAATCGTACTCCATTCTCTATGGTCAGTTTAGGAATTGACACATAATAAAAACTGTGCTCTGGACGATCCTTTAGATATGGTGCTACCCAGTATTGCTTCTTCCTGTACGGTCTCTTCATTTTTTTGCAATTTTCGCATAATTGCACACAACACCAGTATTCGTCGTTTCTTAATCTCTTTAGCTATTACTGATGGCAATGTATTTTATAATGTTGTCGATAAAATACTGTTCGGACAGTTTAAACGCACTTTGACACGCATCCTAATTGTCAGTTTCATACACGAATTTAAATCTATAGAAAAAATTTAAAAAATACAGAAAATATAAATCCACAGCGACTAGCGATTTGTCGCTCCATGAAAAAGTAGCGGGCGTTTAGCGGCTGGCGTTTTATCGGCAGCTTACTATTGAGAGGAAATGTATCACAGAGTGGGGGTAGCCGCTAGCTTTTTGACGCTACGTGAAATTGCACCTTAAGAACGACGCTATTCTTCAGTTTACCTCGCGTCGCGTCGTGACGCGAGTCATGACGCGACGCGTGACGCGCTCAGTGGGAATTCAGCCTAAGTTCTATACATTGCTCTATAATATTGCTTTGTAAGAGCCTATCCAGACACAGGCTTAGTTTACACCGATTGTTTAGTACGCGTACCAAATACTAAATCTGCTTCTCCGATAGGTATAAATTGTTTAGTGTAAAATCTACACCAATCAAAAAAGCTGATTTAGTACTTGGTACGCGTACTAAACAATCGGTGTAAACTAAGCCACACTTGCATAGGGTGTTTACGATAATTCAAGTTCGAGTTAGTTTCACTAGGACCGAAAAATGAGATAGACGTAACCATCTAGAATCTTTATGATTTATGACAACTCGACGCTGTCTTGTATTGCTTGAGTTAAATTAATTGAATTTGTTGAGTTTATAGAGCAAATTTTATTGTAATAAAAAAATGTCAACTGCAAATCAGTCTATTAGCGTTTTCGAATAATCGGGGTTTGAACGATCTAGGGTTG